CTGGCTTGACTACACTATAACTAACGTTGTCCTTCTGAGCATCAGTAACCTTGGTATCAGAGTTTTCTAGTTTTCTGATCAAAGCTCGCATATCTTACCTTGAGTTCCTGAGGCAAGAATGAGCCGATAGCCAAGATCGGGTGCTCGAGGGTCCATGTTTAAAAAGATGTGAGACTTGTTGGAAGCTACTGTCACAGACTCATTTGGAGGCGATGCCACAGCCCATACTGACATTTCATCAGACATAGAAAACAGATCTGCCTGCAATGATACATCATTACTGATCATTTATTAATTTACGGGCAATCCTTTCACATTGTACTTAACTCATACTCTACTCTCACACTGAGGATAGCTTTGAAGAGATTGAACACTGCAGGACTATCCGATGAGATTTTTCACATTTTATTGATGTATAAACATACAAACATAAGAAGGTAGTGTAATCTAGGAAGTTAGTTTTTAAGCTCTAGCTTACAATACCAGGTGAGCAAAACATGAATTTAAACGTGATTGAAATTAATGTAATTCAGAAAGCAAACCTTTTTCCTAAGTTTGTATTTTTTCAAATGTTTCAAAACATCATCTACTTGATCTTTATCAGTCTCTAACAAATAGTTCTGTCCCTTGTCCTTGTCTTCTCCAAGCCTGTATATAATGATATCCCACAGAACCCGACCCTAAAAAAAGAATAGAATTGCACGGGCTAAATTAAACTGCAACATTATTCGTTTAAAAAGTGTATACTCATTGGCACTAACAATCTCGTACTTTGTGCTACTGAATTAGATGGGTTCCTGGCAATTACGCAAGAAAAAGATGAGATAAATGTCTAACTGCACAGCCTACTGTAGCAGTAATTGGTATAAAATGGGTTGACTGCGATAAAATGACATGGGGCCAGCACTTTTCAGATTAGTGTGATCGAAAAAAACATTAGCTTCAAAATTAAAAAAACATTTAGATAATAACTATTTAAAAATGCTCATTACCTGATTATTAAGTATTAGAGAGTAGAGGCAGTTATTTATTGTTGGGCAAATGTCAACATTCAAACAGTCCATGTCATTAGTAATCAGGCCTTGCAGTAATGCCTTGGCGTCCGGTCCAACTACTCTCAGCAGACCTCGTTTTTCTACACATTGACTTATAAAACCTGGTTAAAAACAAAATTAATATATACCGTCAAAGTAAGACAGATGACGTACAAGTGCTCTACAATAAACAATTGTGATGCAAAACTAAGATCACCTTTATCTACAAGGACACACAGTGTTTAAAGGTATCATCGACGGATTAATTGACACCAGCATTTTTGTTGCTGTGACAATACATACAATCGTACTATGATTTATATGTGCAAAAGCCATTATTTTTTTGACTGGACAAGCGTGTACATTGACAAATCAGCTGCTTACGCATCTAAGTAAAACAACATATGAGCTACACACCAAGAATTGAAGTGTCCCAAACTTCCCCTGCCAATTATCAGTGAGTTGGATTCCTTTGCAAACTAAGAGTGCCTGAGCAAGAAACTATTGTCTGCTATAGGTTTGGGATAAAAATAGGAACAGCAATAGGGATAGGGATAGCAATAGGCAAGAGATAGAGATAGGGATATGGTGGTGGTGATTGGTGATGATGTTGGTGACAATTACGATGACGATGATTTGTGTATTATTGTCCTAAAGCTGGATTATGCAGTGACTGTATTGTTACTAATATATAATAATTAAAATAATATTGTTCACAACTAAACAGCGTACACTGCTATAGATGCTGGAAGAGAACTGAACTGATCTTAGCTCTAGAACTATAGCCCTTCCCTCTGCTACAGGCGAGAATGCTACATGCCTGTGGCAGAGCGAAGGGCTATAGTTCTAGAGCTAAGATCAGTTCAGTTCTCTTCCAGCATCTAT